AACTACATCAGTTACCTTCTTTATTTTTTCTTGGTCAGAAATTGTACTCAGAGCAAATACAGTACATATATAGTAGATCTCATAATGAACTACATCAGTTACCTTCTTTATTTTTTCTTGGTCAGAAATTGTACTCAGAGCAAATACAGTACATATATAGTAGATCTCATAATGAACTACATCAGTTACCTTCTTTATTTTTTCTTGGTCAGAAATTGTACTCAGAGCAAATACAGTACATATATAGTAGATCTCATAATGAACTACATCAGTTACCTTCTTTATTTTTTCTTGGTCAGAAATTGTACTCAGAGCAGTTAAAGACACTTGTTCCCCATTTATAAATCTGCCAACTTCTGAAATCTGAAGAGTGAATAATCACAGCATCATTGGTAGAATAAATAGTATGCATACCCTAATATTGAAAAGTCAGCAATTTGCACCAAAGTTAAGCAACCTGCCTTTATTCTGGTTCAGCAATGTGGGGAAGGAGATTTCTTATGGGAGAGAAGGGGGCTCATCCAGCACTACTGTTTTGGACCCTTTTCAATGATTGCCCATCATAAAAACTGATGTTGCAGTAAAGACGCTAATAAGTTCTAAAATGTGACAAAGTTTCCCAAACTAAAAACAAGTACTAGATACCTAGTATAAAACTCGCGCTAACCTTTTCTTCGGCATTTTCCTGGGTCATAATAACAACTAACACACTTGATGTATTGTCCAGTATTCCAAATTTCTTGAAAGATTCATTGATCTAAAAATAATGTTTTTAACATTAACTTGATGCATAACACACTCCTCTCTATAACAAGTACATAAAGATAATAAATACATTTGACTAATTCTTTACCATCTTTGATATTCTAGCACTGTTTCCAAGCACGTCAGGATTCTCAAACAGTTCATTTGTACCCACACGTTGAAGAAGAAAAGAGGGGTCCTGATTCTGTTTCACGCTTAAAATGTTTTGAAAAATTCATGCATCACATAGTTACAAGAGAAAATTTCAAATCTCTCTTCTAATATTTAAGGTTTCAGAAAATCTTGAGGTTTTCACCAAATGAAAGAAAACAATTCATGCGTCATGTATGCTTCAGACAGCAAATTACACCCCATGCTAGTTCATGAATTCACAAATCACACTTGCCTTTCTGTAAGATTCACACACCACATGTTTATTTTGGCCTCAATTATGTCACAGCCAAACCCTTTGCTACTTCCCTTATATTCCTGGGTTCATAGGCACCATGATAATAAAAGTCATTGTCAAGATTGTCTCACAAATTTGACAATAACTTTTATAAAAACAACATTATTTCCATACTTTATGTATTTTCTTACATTTGTAGAAGGTGACAAATTGAAAACAATCTCTGAATGAAGTGTCCTGGTCTTCATCTTTCCTTGTTGAAACAGTTGCAGAGCTTTGTGTCCTGCTATTGCAACATGAAATGGGTCTATGATCTAAAAAGCACAATCACAAGCACATCTTCATGGTGTCCGGCCTTTTCGTCCAAGAGTCTTTTCATCCAAAAGTATTTTCACCTAAGTCTGTTCGTTTACTTGTTAAGTCTTTTCTCAAAGCAAATAAATCACTTTTAGAAGGCTAGATAAGGCTCTAAAAAGAACTTGTTGCAAGCCACCGCCACTTTGGTTCTGATACCTTTAGTCACCAATCTTCGTTTATGAATTCAACATCGTGAATTTTACGATAAATACACAGAGAATGAATGAAGTTGTAATGCAATATATTTTATTAAATAGTGGCAAAAGTAAAGACTTGCTTGCCATTTAATTATTTCACGCAAAAGAAATGGGAATATCAGGCTTGTCAAAGTGTCAATAATGTCAAAAAAACATCTAATTCTACATTTCACCAAATGAACTTCAGTGAAAAAATTTTTCGATTTGGATAAAACGCAATTTTCTTGCGAATTTTTACAAAGTTCAAAATTCTATTTTCTTGTGGTGGACCCCTGCCACTGATCGCAAGAGTAACATGCTCAAAATGACCAAGTGACTGATGTCTGTGACATAAGTTCAGGAACCTCACTTGACCTTTTCGGGATCATTAACGTTGTCACAAAGAGCGGCAACGCACCTTTCAGGCATTTTAAACTAAATGGAGACCACTCTGAAGCAAATTCCCACTTGTTTTCAAGTCAGATAAGTCACAACCCAAAATCACGTGTTCCTGAACCTACGTCACCACTCAATTTAAACTGAGGAAGACTGGTGCAAATGGTGGACCAAAATGGCGGCAAATTTGAATGTCTTTAAAAATTATAAAAAATTTCCGTTTTATCCAAATCGAAATTTTTTTTGCAGAAGTTTATTTGGTGAAATGT